TCGGCATTCTTTTTGTCAGGTACACATGCTGAGCATCCCAATCTTGCTAGTATAGTCCTTTCCGGGGAAAGCAAACGGCCCTCTGAAGGAACGAGTTCAGGGAGTGAGTGAATCACTGGTAGAATCAGGCGTCACTCCTTAGGAGCCGTGTGACTCAGAAGGGGAATTTTCCAGCCTCAGACGAAGAAGCGACTCTGGAAGGTTTTAACAGAGATGGTGTGAGCCCTGCAGGCCCAGCGGCCGGGACGGCTCAGGCTGGTGGTTCGCTTGAGCTCAGGAGTTCTGAGCTCTGCAGGGGGCTGTGCTGATCGGGTGTCCGCGCTAAGTTTGGCATCGATGTAGGGAGCCGCGGCCCACCAGGTTGCCCAAGGAGGGGAGCCATGGTCTGGGCTGTGCAAGAAAAGGCCTAGCAGGCCCGGGGAGCCTGAGTAGCAGTGGGAGGTGCCCCCTGTACACTGCCACAGGAAGTGGTGGCGGCTACAAGCATGGACGGCTTCAAAAGGGAATTAGATAGGCATCTGGAGCAGAGGTCCATCAGTGGCTCTTAGCCACAAGGTATAGATAGGGGCTCTGGTCTTTTTCCACCAGGAAGGAGCTGCCACAGAAAATGCCCTCAGAGGGCTCTGGTCACCGCAAATGCCTATGGAGATCGTCAGTCAGGGCGACCAACATCGTCTCTGTACCATGACCCGGGCGGAAGCCAGACTGTTTACTCTGCCTGGTCCTCACGCTTATTATTTGGCCAAACAAGGGAGGTCTGAAGGTCTTGGGAGGGTGCTCTGGGCCTTCTCAAGGGATCCTAAAACCAGAGTGGTGGCAGCGTCAGGTGACACCCCACCTGAGCCGTGACAAGGGGTGAGCCCACCCAGGTCAGAGACTGAGCAGACGGACCGAAGAGCTAAAAAGCTTTGTGTGTCTAAAGCGTATAACAAATCACTGGGATCTTTTCCCCTAAGTGCAAGGAGAGAACAATCCTGTCCGCCATTGGACACACACGAAGCAAACATAGCAACCGTTCACACAGAGGGAGAAGGACTCTCCCGGGAAGAGTCCGAAAGAGCTCCAGGGGGCTCAGGAAGCAGCAGCCCCTCTGTTGCCCCCAACACCACCACCCGGCATGGAAGAAAAGGCTTTCACTCACTTCTTATTGGAGATGAAGTCGAGCGCCTGGTAAACCAAAGAGTAGAGATACTCCACCTGAGAAAAGAAAGGAGCTGGGATCAGGAGCCAGGAAGGGCCTAGAGATGTAAAATTTCCGGAAAGTTTGAAGCTCGGGGAAAAAAACCGTTTTTTTCCAGTTTCTTCGGAAAAAAACATAATTTTAGCACTTCTTTTTTCTTTTCCAGATTGAAAGTCATTCTGTTACTTTAGGAACATAAAATATGACTATGGACATTTTTACTTGGCATGAAATTGTCACAACTAGCATATTAAAAATATAGTGTATCCAAACGATTATTACAAACAGAATACCCACCCACATGCAAAAACAAAACTGAAACTTTTTTATTTTCTTCTGACAATCGCACCTCCTAAAGGAAGAAATGCATCTTGTTCTTGCATTGGAGAGTTCAGTTTGTAACCTAGGACTTAATTGTCCTCAG